TTGCTATGGCCATGAACACACACAATTGAAAACTCACTGCCTTGGTTCCACCCTGGCCTCCAGCTATTTTCTGCTTCTCGACCAAAAAATGACCTGGAGGTGCCTTCTGAAACAGGGGTTCCCATACTGTCCTCAAGTCCTGCGTGCTCTGCCATGGCAGCTGCCACATCTCACAGTGGGGTGTGACCAAGCCTTTCGGGCCTGCACACAGGAGGGGCTTCCTGGGCACAAGAGGAACAGGCAAACTTGAATCTGTCTCTACTAAAAATACAAAAAATTAAGCTGGGCGCAGTGGTTAAATGCCTGTAATCCCAGCGCTTTGGGAGGCCGAGGCAGGCAGATCGCTTGAGGTCAGAAGATCGAGACCAGCCTGGCAAATGTGGTGAAACGCCATCTCTACTAAAATTCCAAAAAATTAGCTGGGCATGGTGTTAGGCACCTGTAATCCCAGCTACTCAGGAGGCTGAGACACAGGAGAATTGCTTGAACCCCGGGAGGCAGAAAGGCTGCAGTGAGTCAAACTTAGCCACTGCACCCCAGCCTGGATGACAGAGTAAAGATTTGGTCTCTAAATAAATAAATAAATAAATAAACAGAATGTGGGTGCTTTGCTTCAGCAGCACATATACTGCCAAATTGGAACAATACAGAGAAGATTAGCGAGGCCCCTGTACAAGCATGATGTGAAAATTTGTGAAATGTTCCTTTACAAAAAAATTTTGTGGCCTGACATTTGAGGTCAGGAGTTCCAAACCAAAGCCTGTCCAACATGGCGAAACCTCAGTCTCTACTAAAATACACAAAAAATTAGCCCAGCATGGCGTAGGGCGCCTGTAATCTCAGCTACACGAGAGACTGAGGAAGGAGAATCATTAGATTCTAGCGAGCTGAGATCACGCCATTGCACTCCAGCCTGGGCGACAAGAGCAAGACTCTGTATCGATGATAATAATAATAATAAAATTAAAGAAAATAGAACTTTAAAACATGAAAAAAGAAAAGAAAAATGAATCACTACCTCACACCATGCTCAAGAACAAATCCCACATGGATCAAAGACAAACACATTAACATTCCCAGACCATTGGCTGACACCCTGGTCCAAGCTTCGTCTCTTGGCCTGGGCCTGGGGAGCAGCCTCACGCCGGTCTCCGCAGCGAGCTTCCCCACCTCTAATGACAGTCTCACACGTGTCCAGTGTTCTACCATTTTTGAACAATCACAAAATAGCACAGGCCATGAGTACCTGAAGGCGACAGCAGTGTGCGAGGCCACCTAACACACATGACCTCACCTAGTCCTCGACAACAGCCCTTCAAAGGCAGGCTCCAGGGCGTGGCTCCTCTAGCCAAGCTGCTCAGAAAACCAGCTGGAATGAATGAAAGCACTTTCTTTCTGCACATGAGACAACCAAGGCTCAGAGAGGGTAAGCACCTTGCCCACAATACAGCCCCTCAGTGGCAGAGATGGCCAAGTTTCTATTAACACAAGTGTTCCAGTGACACCTCCAGGCCTCCAGATGCGGACGCTGTTTTTTGAGAACTTTGTCATCCTGCCCTCCCTCTTCACAGCCTCTATCAGGAATCCCGCTCTCAACTGATGCACCGAGTTGACTTCCAGCTTTTTCCGTGCAGGCCAGTGCCTAGAATCTCTCTCCTCTCCTCACCTCCACTGACTCTCTAGTCATTTAATGCCACTGAAGTGCACACTAATGCCAGCATTGACAGTTATTGGTGTATTGGTGTTATATCTATGTACCTTTCTTTTTTTTCTTTTTCTTTTTCTTTATTTTTTTTTGAGATGGAGTCTCGCTCTGTTGTCGAGGCTGCAGTGCAGTGGTGCAATTCTGCTCACTGCACTCAAGGCTCCCCATTCAAGCCATTCTCTCCTGCCTCAGCCTCCCAAGTAGGTGGGGATTACATGCAGCTACCACGCCAGGCTAATTTTGTTGTTGTTGTTATTTTTGTATTTTTAGTAGAGAAGGGGTTTCACCATGTTGGCCAGGCTAGCCTCAACCTTCCTGACCTGTGTGATCCACCACCTCAGTGTCCATAGTGCTGGGATTACAGGCGGGAGCGCCATCGCCAGCCTGCACTTTTAAAACAACAAAAATGCTAACAGTCAACTGTGGCGGGGGGGACGCAGACGCAGCGGTACTCACTCCAGGAGATCCTCTGGTCTCTGTTCAGAACCAGACCTGAGGCGGAAGCACCAAAACAGCGCGCCAATGCCGTCCGTCAGCTCAGGACACTCCATGACTTGCTGGACTCTCAGGCCTTTCAGCCAGGGCTCATTTCTCCCACCTGCCCTCGACGCCCCATGCCCAGGGCTCAACCATCGCCACCTGACTCACGGACCTGTCAGCCCACATGGGCCCTCACCACCACCCCAGCGCCAGTGCAAAATGAGGGGCAGGAGCTTAGGCTGACAGCCAGGTGATGGTGGACTTGTCTCTGAGAAACCCATTCATAGGTAAGCAAATAAGTAATAAATGGTGTTACTGCTTGTTGAGAAGACACTGAATGAAAAAGAAACATGAGCAGACGCAGGCCTGTGTACCTCAGCTTGAGCTCGAGCTGACTTGGTTCTCTCTGCCCCCATCCCGGCTGGTGGCCAACAACGCCTCAACTGTGGTTAACAATCTTGCAGTTCCTTCCCGAGCAATGTCCCCTCAAGAACGCCTCCGCATGGGAGTGGCCCAGAGGCGGGCAGAGGGTCCCTGTGGCCCTGGGGGTAATCGCAGGCTGGAAGCTGCCGGCGGCTCGGAAGGGATGGAGACGTGAACTGAGGGGTGCTTGAATGGAACCCTCCAGCAGGACACAGGGGAATCCAGAGCTGCAGGTGTCCAGGATAAGAGGCAGGGGCTGCTCCTCCTGCATAAATCTTTCTCAAATACCTGCATGGCCAGCCTCCCCACCACCCCTTCTTATTTTTCTCCATGGCATCTTTCTTTTTTGAGACAGCGTCTCTCTGTCGCTCAGGTTGGAGTGCAGTGGTGTGATCTCGGCTCCCTGCAACCTCCGCCTCTCGGGTTCAAGCAATTCTCCTGCCTCAAACCTTAGAGTGGCTGGTACTACAGGCGCCCGCCACCACGCCCAGCTAATTTTGTATTTTTAGTAGAGACGGGGTTTCGCCATGTTGGCCAGGCTGGTCTCAAACTCCTGAGCTCAAATGATCTGTCCACCTCTGAAGTGCTGGGATTGCAGGTGTGACTATCAATGCCTGAGCCTCACAGCACTTTCTAAGGTACTTCATCCTTTGCCTATTGACTGCTTCTCTTCTTTGCTAGAGTTCAGCTTCCACAAGGACAAACAGTTTGGTTTGTTCACAGCTGTATCTCAGGACTAAGAACTGTGCCTGCCACATAGGCCTAAAGTGCTTGCTGAATTAATAGACAGGTGTTTACCTCTGGGTGGGGTCCAGAGGGCTGGAGAGGGTTCAAAGGAACGGGTGCTGTGCCATTGTTTTAGCTGTGTGATAGGTGCACAGGTTATTACTGTTATTAACATTATTATTTTATTATTTAAACATACATATATGAGCTGGGCACTGTGTTTTGCGCCATAATCCCAGCATCTTGGGAGGCCGAGGCGGGTGGATCACTTGAAGCCAGGAGTTTGAGACCAGCCTGGCCAACATGGTGAAACGCCATCCCTACTAAAAAAGTACAAAAAAAATTAGCCAGGTGTGGCGGTGGGCACCTGTAGTCCCAGCTACTCGGGAGGCTAAGGAATGAGAAATGGCTGAACCAGGGAGGCAGAGGCCAGGCGCAGCTGAGATGGTGCCACTCGTACCCAGTAGCCTGGGTGACAGAGCAAGACTCTTGTCTCAAAAAATTAAACAAAAAAACACTAAACTATACATATATGATACACCAACAAGATTTGTATAGCGCCTAAACCACCTGATTTTAAAGTTCACGTGGAAAAATTACACAGGCAAGAATAGCAGGAGGTCAGGCACCTGTAATTCCAACACTTTGGGAGGCCAAAGTGGGAGGATCGCTTGAGACCAGCCTGGGTAATGGAGCAAGACCCCATCTCTACACAGAAAGCTGAAAGATTAGCGGAGCATAGTGGCACACGCCTGTAGTCCCAGCTACTGGGAAGACTGGAAGTGGGAGGGTTGGAGCTGAGGGGTAGGAGGCTGCAGTGAGCCGAGATCCTGCCACTGAAATCCAGCCTGGGCAACAGAGCAAGACCCCGTCTCAAAAAAGGGAAAAGAAAAAAAGACTAGTAGAAAAAAATTCAAAAGAGCCAAGGGAGACGGTCCTGTCAGGATATGCAAAATCCTCAGGCTAGGCACAGTGGCTCACGCCTGTAATCCCAGTACTTTTGGAGGCTAAGGCAGGTGGATCACCTGAGGTCGGGAGTTCGCGACCAGCCTGGCCAACACGGCGAAACCCCATCTCTACTAAAAATACAAAAATTAGCCGGGCATGGTGGCGGACACCTGTAATCTCAGCACTTTGGGAGGCCGAGGCAGGCGGATCACGAGGTCGGCAGAGATCGAGACCATCCTGGCTAATATGGTGAAACCCCATCTCTACTAAAAATACAAAAAATTAGCTGGAATTTCCAGAGCTGAACAATTTGGAAATTCTGGTCACACGAGACTGAATTCCCACTTGATTAGCACTGGCCCAGCTGCCTGCCACGGTGGGCCAGCCCAGCCCAAAGCCTCCAGCTCCAAAGTCCCTACACATCCCATAGCCTCCCTCCCAGCCGGCATGGTGGACTCCACAACACGCCCCACCCCGCCCCCAGGTGCCGCCGTTTCTGAGCCCGCATCACTCAGCACTTTATAAAGGGAAGGCACATGCCCACCTCGCCTGATCCGATGAGCGCAAAAACCCAAGACCTTGTTTGTCACCTGAGCACACAAGGGGAGTTTAAAAGGGAAAGGACTGTCCCAGGTTCACTCAGCTGGCCGTGTCAGGAAGCCACGTTGTTTCGCCCAGCTCAGCACATTCTCC